TTACATAGTTTTAGGGCCCATTTGCACCCATTTGCATTAAGCTTTGTATCGTTAGAAACCCAGTCATATTTTTGAATGGTCAGGCATTATTCCCTCATTTTCCCCTGAGATGGGAGAAAGCAGTTCCTGCTTATAATGACATAAAAATCTTCATTTTGCGTCATTTTAAGCAGGAAGTCCCATATCTTTGTAGAGGGGTTGAGACTACAAACACTCGTTCCTCATTTATTCAGGGGGTGGGACACACTCACGCTACATATCTATAACAGATCAGTGGGTGGGACTTCACTTGCAGAAACTAAAAGCAATATCCGCCATCTTGTTTGGAAGCTAAGCTAACAGGCGCTGTGTAGGCAGATGTGAAGTTACGACAATGGCGGAAGATACTCAATATGATATGGAAGAAGAGGATGGAGGTGATGGAGGAACAGGAGGCGGCTGCTGCGGCAGAATACCTGCCTGTCGCGGACGAGGAGCCCGGACTGGCTCAAGCCGGGGCGGACTGAACACAGAGATTTGTACTTGTACTTGTCCACAGTACTTGAGAGAGTCCGTCGGCTGCAAAGAATTTCAACTATGCCAATTTCTCCTGGACGAAATCTCAGAATCAGACAAGGACACGGACAACATGTATGTTAGACCCTATTCCGACTAGACCAATGAAAGATATGCTTCCAGATGTCATAGATCCTCTTCTCAATATCATTAATTCATCTTTGTCACTAGGATACATACCAAAAACCTTTAAGCTGGCTATGATCAAACCACTTGTTAAAAAAACGCAACTTGATCCTACAGAATTAGTCAATTACAGGCCGATCTCGAATCAGCTGTGTTCCTTTTTAGAAAGAAATGATATCTGTGAGGATTTTCAGTCCGGATTTAGACCGTACCATAGTACCGAGACAGCTCTCGTTAGAGTCACCAATGATTTGCTCTTATCATCCGATCGTGGTTGTATCTCTCTATTAGTGTTACTTGATCTTAGTGCTGCATTTGACACCACTGACCACAACACTCTTTTAAATAGACTAGAACACTATATTGGGATTAGTGGAATTCCACTAGCATGGTTTAAATCACACTTATCTGACCATTATCAGTTTGTAGCAGTAAATGAAGAGATGTCTTATCGATCACAAGTTCAGTATGGCGTACCACAAGGCTCAGTACTAGGACCGCTGCTGTTCACTCTGTACATGCTACCATTAGGAGATATCATTTGGAAGGATAGCATTAGCTTTCACTGTTATGCCGATGATACTCAGCTCTATATTTCTTCACGCTCTGACGAAACTTACCAATTCACAAAATTAACGGAATGCATAGCTGATATAAACAATTGGATGACTAGTAATTTCCTACTACTTAACTATGAAAAAACAGAGATTCTTATTATTGGACAAAAAACTTCCACACGTAATAACCTAGAATACTGTCTAACACTTGATGGCTGCTCTGTTAAGTCTTCGTCATTGGTTAGGAACCTGGATGTGCTCTTTGATACCAATCTTTTATTTGAAAGTCACGTCTAGTTATGAAAGTCATGTCTAGAATCTGTAAAACCGCATTTTTTTAATCTTAAAAATATATCTAAATTACGTCATATGCTCTCAATGACAAATGCGGAACAATTAGTTCATTTGTTCATGACATCAAGGCTAGACTATTGTAATGCTCTACTGGGTGGTTGCCCTGCACGCTTAATAAATAAACTACAGCTAGTTCAAAACGCAGCCGCTCGAGAACCAGGAAATATGACCATATTAGCCCGGTTCTGTCAACACTGCATTGGCTGCCTATTAAACATCGTATAAATTTTAAAATATTGCTGATTACTTACAAAGCACTAAATGGTTTAGCTCCCAGTACTTGAGCGAGCTCTTAACGCACTATAGTCCTTCACGTCTATTGCGATCTCAAAATTCCGGACAGTTGATAATACCTAGAATATCAATATCGACTGCTGGCAGTAGATCCTTTTCCTATTTAGCACCAAAACTCTGGAACAGTCTTCCTACTATTGTCCGGGAAGCAGACACACTCTGTCAGTTCAAAGCTAGACTAAAAACACATCTCTTTGACCTAGCATACACATAACACACTATAGACTTCTATAACTCTGTTATGCTGCATAGATTAGGTCAGCCGGAACCGGGAACATTTCCCATAAATCCTGATGTACTCGTTACATCATAAGAAGGATGGCGTCTATGCTAATATTAGTCTCTCTGTTTATCCCGTGGTTTACCGCAGTCCGCCATATCCAGATCTGATGAAGGACCTGCACCAGGACCCACTCACACACACACTCACACACACACTCTCACACACACATACTCCAGATCTGATGAAGGACCTGCACCAGGACCCCCTCACACACACACTCTCACACACACTCACACACACACACACACTCCAGATCTGATGAAGGACCGGCGCCTGGACACGACGACAATGCAGTCCTGAAGTGTCCCTTTTCCTCTGTACAGATAAAACGTTGTCGGGATAATTCCGGTTTCATGTGGCTACGTGGAAGCGATAAAATTTTTTGTATTATACATTTTTAAGGCCCGACAAGTAGATTGTTGAGGGTTGGTTTGTAAAGAAGGACTACACGCCTGCACAACAAAAACGCGCATACCTGTAGACTAAACACGTAATACGCATGTGCACACCATCAGCGTATTCACAGGTTTGCGTTTTTGAAGTTTGCGCAGAGATAACTTTTTTTTTTCTCAAAATATTTCAAGGCTTGTACCTTGGAACCTATTTCAAGGTTTGCGTTCTCAAGCCGCCAAACACTGTTTTGTGCAAATGAGCGGCCGAGGCGCATTAAGCGTTTTCTGTTTTTCTAACTTTAGCTGGACAATAACTTTATTCTAGAGCTGCTGTAAAGCCAGAACAATTTCCTACTTTAATTTCCTATTATCACTGTAAAGCTGCTTTGAAACAATCTATGTTGTTAAAAGCGCTATATAAATGAAGGAGACTTGACTTGACTTTAAGACAAACCTGTTGACTTATGAATGTGTAAATTCATAAGTTGACAGCATTGCTGAGTATTTTCTGCTTAAAACAGTCTCAAAAACACGGTTTGAAATCGCTGGTGTTTCTTCACAAACGACCTTGTAACCAATCAGATCAACGTGTGATCGTCAACCAGTGGATCTCTGAGCTGAGTGAGTGAGTGGAGGCGGGGCTCATCTGCATATTCATAGAGCCGCGCATAATAAATGAGGCAAGGGTGTCGAGTTACATTCTAGATATTTTAAGGCATGAAGAAATTGTTTTAAAGGAAAAAACCTTTAAATCTAATTTTGGTGATCGAAGATGGGTTTTAAGGGATACAATTAATGAGCAATTCATTTCTGACCATGTTTATTAATCTTTAGTTAATACAAATACAACTTTTCAGTGTTCGTTCCTGTCGGCTCACTGCCATTAAATAACATTCATTTCAGTAAAGTTGAATTAGAAAATGTTGAAATCAATAAATGATGTAGACGTATTTGCAGTTCATGTTAACTAACAAACTTAACTTTATTGTAAAGCATAAGAAATATGTATTTCATCAGAAAATAAGAACTAATTCTATTTTTCAAATATTAATCTGATGAAGAGAACCCGAGTTCATTAATCAAAACCATCAGAAGAGCCGTGTATGAATGACACGAGAGAAGGTTTTTATTCCAAACAAAAGAAAAACAATGTTATTTACTGTCACCTACAGTACAAACGTGTACAAATACCAGAAAATAGAATCAAAGTGTGTGTAAAAAGTAATCCTGTAGAAACGTATGTTATGTACACGAGGCGACGCAAAAACCACTTATTGCACAAGAAAACAATAGCATCATATCTGTAATAATAATGATCAACTTAAAATACAATGGAGAAATAAGAAACTCTATAAGAAAACATTTAAATTATTTAAAGTTGACTGCCAGCATGTTTTTTATTTTAAACATATGTGTTTTTTTTCCTTTGAAATACAGCAGAAATTGTTAGAAAAATTAAACGTTCAAAAGCCAGAAATCCATAACATTTCCTTACATTGAACGTTCACCTGTAACTTTAATAGTGGACTGACGGTTTATCATAAATATCTAAAACATAAATCTCCAGTTTTTCCTCTCAGACTAGTTTAATGTTGGTTTGTGAAGGATCTCTGGCTCTCTGAAACAGTAGTTTTACTCTCGTGTTTCGGGTTAAAGAGAACTGCATTTCTCAAACGACAGACTCGCAGTCATTATACAGTCAAACATCAGTACAATTTCCCCAGAACGGACATATTTCATCTAAAATCAAGACCAAAACTGAAGTTTTGCATGAAGACATTTTTAGGGCCATTAACATTTTTGCTCTATGACATTAATTTCATGACAATGAAACATTTAGACCCATATTAGGGAAGCTTGTTCCAGCCACAGAATGAAAAATAAAAAAGGTAATTGCAACTTTTTATCTCACAATTCTGACATTTTATCTCAGAAATGCGTGATATATACTTACAATCGCGTGTTATAAAGTCAGAATTGTGTTATAAAGTCAGAATTGCGATATAAACATGCAATTCTGAGTGAAGTGGTTTCACTCTGATTTCAAGTATATTTCTCGCAATTGCGAGTTTACATCACACAATTCTGACACACAATGTGAGTTTATATCACGCAATTCTGACACACACAAGGGTTTATAATTGTTACTAATTCTATAATAATAATAACAAATTAAATAACAGACAAAAATGACGTCAGGACAGGATGATTGGTCCTAAAAACAGGCTTTATCCCAGACGGCAACATAGTGTCGGCCCAGATCCGGCACGCGTGGAATCCACATGAGGCCCGGATCTGGGCCAGATCTGATCCGACACTATGTTGCCATCTGTGAATTCTCTAAAGCAAAATATATTTTATTCTTTTGATTTTAGGGTGAAATATGGTGGAGTTTTTGTGAAATTAACACTCCGTTGCAGGTTAATATCGGCGACCCGTGAGAGAGAAAGTAGTTCAAGCAAAGTCACATTTTTCATAAAACAGACATCATCACCCTCTTCATTTTCCGTTCCTTTGCAGATTTTGGCAAATGCACGTACAGTCACACCTGTGCAAACACACATTTACACACTGCGGACAGATATTCCCATATATCCATGTAGCTTCAGAACTGTACACAGACAGGCTGAATGTTTTTATACATATATCTGGTTTACAGTCCCTCAGGAAGGCAACGCAAACATTTGTAAGGCAAGATCCATTTGACGCACACATTCTGCCATCCTGAGAAAGAAAAGTGTGAGGGCCGCGTAGCCCTTTAAAACACACGAGTGTATGTACAGAGAGTTTCAGAAGGCCGATCCCAGCAGATGCGTGTGTTTCAGTCCCGTCGCTCTCCGTTCGCCTCACATTTCAGAGGATTTGGGATTTCAGGAATGGAGAAATCTGACGCCTGAGAGACGAAACCAGTTTAAAGCAAAAAATTAATTTCCGTGTGGCTTAGTTTTCCTTCAGCTTCTCCTGGTACGTGTAAACAGTGGGAAAACTGGTTGACTTTCCTGTCTTTTTAGAGCTAATTTGTCTCGTATTTGATTAGGTTTGCATTAGTGATTCTGTTATTTCCTGTTTGTTACTGTGAAGCTGCTTTGAAACAATAAGTTCTAAAAAATGTAACATTATAACACTGTAACTGTTCTCTTTAGAACTCTCAGCTGACACTTTAGAACTCTCAGCTGACACAACGTTTCACTTCGGTTTGGACACGTTTTTGAGCATCTAAGTATTCAATCAATCAAAATAAGTTCGGGGCCACTGAGAATGTAACTTTTTTTAGGCAAATTCGCACTATTTTTCTGTCCAAATGTTCAACGCTCCGCTGACCGCACAACGCCATTCCGTTGCGTGAAGACGAACCTTTCCTCGTAACTGTCAGCGAGACGTAACTCTGTGTATGACCTTTGACCTGTGATGTCACTGGTGGTGTTTGTTGCAGTCGTCGTCCAGGCATCCGTTCATGCGATGCGATTCGTCCCCGAAGGCGCCCTGCGACTGCAGAAGCTCGAACTCCTCGTCCAGAAAGTCCAGCGAGTTGTTGCTCGGGAGCCCGCGGATGGTGAACTTGTTGGAGACTTTGGCCCATTGCTCGCGGTTGGCGGCCACACGCTCGTAAAGCTCGGCTGAGCGCGGGAACAGTTCCTGCAGGAGCCTGGGACAAATCATCCGAGATGTTAACTTCTCATGTACTTCTTTTTTTTTTTTTTAGAGGAAAAATACATACGCTGTAAAAAATGATCATGATTTTAACGGTAAAAGACTATTAACTGGTTATAACTGTGACAGATCTAACTGTACATTTAATGCAGTTTTACAGTAAAATACTGTTTAAATTTAAATACCAGTTTTTGGAAATGAAAAAGAACAAGTCATTGTATAATGTACAGTAAAAAAACTCTTCCCACAAATCCCTGCGTGACACTTCACATTTGATGTATTTTTGTTGAAATTACCATGTTTCTTCATAGTTTTTCTCTTTGTTTTTTTAATCAGTTATGTACATTAGGGTTCCCTTTCGAGGGAACTCGAACTGCGTCGGTGACGACACTAGGGGAACGCCCTTCAGCGTAGCACGTCTGAATTTATGAATGAAACCGAATCCAATCCTATTGGCGTTACGTGATGACGTAGCGTGTGACGGCATAAGCGGATGTGTACAAAAGCACGCCGGCACACAGAAAATGTCAGCTTTTTGCTATTCAGCAAGCGCTCTGTGTTGTGTTGAAATTAGTTTGTCCTATTTGGTGTTGTTTGTCTCAGTTCTGATCTATTTTGAAAATGAGTGAGCAGTTTAAAAATTGTGTGTTCCCGTGCCCTCGCTTTATCACGGCTGGGGACACACACGAGATGTATGTGGCTTGCTTAGGAATGCAGCACGCCCAAGCAGCTCTCGAGGGGGCTGCTTGCGGCCACTGTGATTCTCTTTCTATGAGAGTGCTGCGTTCCCGTCTCCCGCGGTTCAGGTCCCGCATCTGCCGAGGCGATGCGGCGACTTAGATCGTGGGGTTCGCAAAGGGAGCTTTCAGAGGGGGTCGGGACTGCCGAGGCACTTTCCCAATCCTCATCTGAAAGCTCAGATTCCCCTATCCCCCGTTCGGGAGCCCGCTCCGCGGCTTCTCCCGTTCGGGATGTAGACCCAGTGCTGCAGCTGTCTGATTCCGAGGAATTAGATGTGCTCAGCATTGTGGAGGGGGATCTGCATGAAGCACACACACACACACAAACTGCGCCCAGCTATAATGAGCTTTTGGAGGTGGTGACACGGGCTGTGACTAAACTACATATTAGTTGGCCACAGGAGAGGCAGGAAGAGCAAGTCAGAAGTAAACTCGACGAGCGCTTCCTGCAGCACCGTGCACATCCTCCACGCCGGTCTCTACCGTTCTTCCCGGATTTACACAACGAGTTGTGTAAATCCTGGAACAGGCCCTTTTCAGCGCGCCTGTCTAACCCCCCGATGTTGAACTATAGTGACATTATGGGGGTTAGAGAGAATGGTTATGGAACGATGCCTCGGGTTGAGGAAGCTTTAGCCAGTTACCTCTCACCCGATCTTGCATCGTCCCTTAAGACGCCGGCGTTGCCCTCCAAGCCATGTCGCACTACATCTGCGTTGGTGGGCAGAGCCTATATGGCGGCAGGTCGGGCTGGTGCGAGCCTGCACACGATGGCCATTCTGCAGGCGTACCAGGCCGACCTCTTAAAAGACATGGACCAGGGCGAGGGTCCTACTAGGGAGGATGTTGCCGAGCTTCGTAAAGCCACAGACTTGTCTCTCCGGGTTACCAAGGAGACGGCCCGCGCCATCGGCCGCTCCATGTCAGCTCTGGTAACCACGGAGAGGCATCTGTGGCTTAATCTCTCTGGCATCAAGGAGAAGGACAGGGCTTTTCTTCTTGATGCACCCATTTGTACCTCTGGTCTGTTCGGCGAGGCGGTTAATGCTGTCGTCGACAGATTTCAGGACACTAAAAAGCAGAGTGAAGCGTTTAGGCAATATCTCCCTCGCCGGTCGAGGTCTAGGAAGTCGGCTGCTAGAGGGTCAAAACAGCCACAGCCGTCATCCAGCTCCTATCGCCAGGGCCAAAGAGGGAGTGTCGCTTCTAGAGGTCCCCCTCAAGCAGCTTGGGACCCTAGGCAGCGCTCTCACCCACAGCCTGCTGGAAGGACGGATCTGAGGACCGTCATCCAGTCCAGGAAGGCGAAGGGAAAGAGGTCCTAACTCCTGTGGGACCTCCAAGGGCCGCCCCCCCCGAGAGAGAGCGACCGAGGTCCCCTCTCTCGTCGGGCCCTCAGGAAGCTGGCGTCAGTATCCCGCCGTCTCTGACGCATCGGGACGCGCCAGCTTCCAGCGAGCACACGCTGTCTTTTCTGCCCCAAAGGCTTGCAGTCAGACAGCGTTCGCGCTCGCACACTGTGGGTCGTTGTCGGTTTTCCCCTGCCGGTCTTCCGCTTCAGGGTGCCGCCAAGGGCTTACACAAAACACTGGACACCAGCCCCGAGGGGCTGGTTCCCTTGGTGAATTTCACAGAGGCATGGCAAAACCTCACGAATATTTCTCCATGGGTCCTGCGCACTGTGGAAATTGGGTACAGACTACAGTTCCAGGTCCGCCCACCGAAATTCAACGGGGTGGTCTGGACGTTAGTGCGCCCAGAGCAGGGTCTGGTGTTGGGACAGGAAGTCAACTCGCTGCTAGAAAAAGGGGCCATAGAGCGTGTTCCCCCACTAGTCAGAGAGTCCGGGTTCTACAGCCGGTACTTCATAGTTCCAAAGAAGGATGGAGGGTTGCGTCCAATTTTAGATCTGAGGCATCTGAATCGGTCTCTGAGGAGATTCAGGTTCAAAATGCTCACTATTCCCATTATCGTGAATCAAATCCGATCCGAGGATTGGTTTGTCACGATAGATCTAAAAGACGCCTACTTCCACATCTCCATCCTTCCATCTCACAGGAAGTTCCTGAGGTTTGCTTTCGGGGGCGAAGCTTACCAATATTGGGTTCTTCCGTTCGGCCTAGCACTCTCCCCTCGCACCTTTACCAAGTGTATGGATGCAGCTCTAGCACCCCTGAGGCTCGAGGGCATCAGGGTGCTCAATTACATCGACGACTGGTTAATACTGGCACAGTCGAGAGAGCTGGCGATTCGGCATCGAGATGTCGTCCTCGCCCACATCCAGAGCCTGGGGTTGAGACTCAACACGAAGAAAAGCGTGTTGACACCAGCCCAGAGAACCACGTTCCTGGGAGTGGTGTGGGACTCAGTCACGATGCAGGCACGATTGTCTCCTGCTCGAATCGAGTCTATCCTGACCTCAGTGTCCAGGATAAAGCTAGGCCAGGCCGTCACTGTCAAACACTTTCAGAGAGTGTTGGGTCTAATGGCAGCAGCGTCCAGCGTGATACCTTCTGGCCTGCTGCACATGAGAGCCCTGCAGTGGTGGTTAAGAGCCAAGGGGTTTTCCCCGAGGGGAAATCCATTCCGCTTGATAAGGGTTACGCGCAGATGCCTTCGTTCCCTATCAATTTGGAAGAAGCCTTGGTTCTTGTCCCAGGGTCCCAGGCTGGGAGCGTCGTGTCACCGGATATCTATTTCGACAGACGCCTCCCTCACGGGCTGGGGCGCGGTCATGGACGGCCGTTTTACGAGAGGTCTCTGGCAGGACCAACATTCCTCTTGGCACATAAATTGCCTAGAAATGTTGGCGGTGTTCCGGGCTCTGAGGAGCTTTCTGCCAGACCTCCATGGTCGCCATGTCCAAGTAAGATCCGACAACATGTCGGTGGTATCTTACTTAAATCATCAGGGGGGTCTGAGGTCGCGCCCTCTGTGCAGACTGGCGCATCAGATCCTCCTGTGGTCCCAGCGGAGACTGTCGTCTCTCAGGGCGATGTATGTCCCGGGGGACCAGAATCAGGGAGCAGACATGCTGTCGAGGCAGGGGCTGAGGCCCGGGGAATGGAGACTCCACCCCGAGGTGGTGGAGTTAATATGCGAGAGGTTTGGCCCAGTGGAAGTGGACCTATTTGCGTCTCGAGAGACGACACACTGTCCACTGTGGTTCTCCCTCACACATCCAGCCCCGCTGGGGTTGGATGCCATTGTGCAGACGTGGCCGAGGCTGCGTCTGTACGCCTTTCCCCCAATCGCTCTGCTCCCAGCAGTTCTGGAAAGGGTCCGTCAGGACGGAGTCAGCCTACTTTTAGTAGCCCCGTTTTGGCCGGCCCGAGTATGGTTCTCGGACATCATCTTGCTTCTGGCAGGCCCGCCATGGCAGATCCCTCTGAGGAGGGACCTGTTGTCTCAGGCGGGGGGCTCAGTTCTCCACCCTCGGCCCGAGCTGTGGAAACTGTGGGTCTGGCCCCTGAGGGGGCACAGTACCTAGAAGCCGGCCTGTCAGCGGAAGTAGTTGAGACTATACTAACTTCCAGAGCTCCCTCCACGAGGAAATTATACGGCCTTAAGTGGAATGTATTTTCCATTTGGTGCAGAGAGCGTGATTTGGACCCAGTTAACTGCCCAGTGGCTTCAGTACTGGAGTTTCTCCAAGACCGCTTTTCTGCCGGGCTTACCCCGTCCACACTCAAGGTTTATGTGGCTGCCATTGCGGCTTTCCACGCCCCTCTGAGTGATGGTCCTCTGGGGAGGCATCACCTGGTCGTACGTTTCCTCCGTGGAGCCTGGAGGATGAGACCTGCGACTCGCACCAGGGTTCCCTCTTGGGATCTGGCAGTGGTGCTCGAAGGGCTGGCCGAGGCCCCCTTCGAACCATTGGAGTCGGCTGAGGCCAAGAACCTTTCATTTAAGGTGGTCTTTTTGTTGGCTATTACTTCTCTGAGGAGGGTAGGAGATCTCCAGGCGCTCTCTATTTCCAATGAGTGCTTGGAGTTTGGTCCCGGCAACATTAAGGCCATCCTTCACCCCAGGCCTGGCTATTTGCCCAAGGTGCCATCTAATGTGGCACGGCCTTTGGTTCTGCAGGCATTTCATCCTCCGCCTCATGTGACGGCGGATGAGGAGAGACTTCATCTGCTCTGCCCTGTCAGAGCACTTCAGTATTACATCCAGAAGTCCTCCTCATGGCGGAAGTCGGACCAGTTGCTGGTGTGTTTTGGGTCTCCCAAGAAGGGGCTTCCCGCCTCTAAGCAGACCATCAGCAACTGGATCGTTCAGACTATTTCCCTGGCCTATCAGGTGCGCAATTTGCCTTCACCTATGGCCGTGAGGGCTCACTCCACCAGAGGCATGGCGTCCTCTAGAGCCCTCCTTTCAGGGGTTTCTATCCATGACATATGTGAGGCGGCTGGCTGGGCCACTCCGCACACATTCATGAGGTTTTACAGTCTGGACCTTCCCTCTACACCCGGTGCACGAGTGCTTTCGTCCTAAGTTGTGCCTGAAGACAGCTTCACACTAGGATGAGCGGGGTTCGTTGTGGCATAGTGGGTATCTCGTTCCCCTAGTGTCGTCACCGACGCAGTTCGAGTTCCCTCGAAAGGGAACGTCTCGGGTTACGTATGTAACCCTTGTTCCCTGAGAAAGGGAACGAGACACTGCGTCGGTTCGCCACACCTCACCCTGCTTGGAGCACTTGCTTCATAGCAAAAGCTGACATTTTCTGTGTGCCGGCGTGCTTTTGTACACATCCGCTTATGCCGTCACACGCTACGTCATCACGCAACGCCAATAGGATTGGATTCGGTTTCATTCATAAATTCAGACGTGCTACGCTGAAGGGCGTTCCCCTAGTGTCGTCACCGACGCAGTGTCTCGTTCCCTTTCTCAGGGAACAAGGGTTACATACGTAACCCGAGACGTTTTATGTTATATTTAATGTTGTTAAATTAATGTTTACTGTATTTTTCAAATTTCATGATGGTGTTTGTGTGAATGACACTGTGCAGCTTCTACTATTACTATTAACTTTCTTGTAAAAAAGCTGCTTGTGATGAGCATTTATCATGTGACTTCAATAGATCGGTAAATTAACATTATATCAGATAATGAAATACGTTTTTTACTGTAAATTTAAGTTAAGTCTGTTAAACCTAAAATGTTGCGCACCGTATTTCTTACGGTAGATTTCTGGCAACCACAGTTGCCAGTTTTTAATCATAAATTTAACAGGATTTTTTTTTTGCTTCTTTACAATAATATTAATAATAATAAAATAAAAAAACATATGTCAATACAAAGACAGCATTAAGTTCTCAAGATGTATTGTATTTTCCTAATTTTGACAGCAACTATGTACAAGAACGAGGGAAGCTACTTGTAGTTCTTAAAAACATTACCTTACATAGAATTGAACTTCTGATGCTTTAGAATTTATATACTTCATGAACGCGTAAGAATACTCTCTTTAACCCTCTGGTACTCTTTTTTTTAATGTTTTTTTTTTAGAATTGTTTACTTCATCGGAATTGTACGAAACTTGGTAAAGGTTTTGGCACTTGCTGTGTGAACACACAAAAAAATCATGGACATGATTCGAACAGGTTAAATTATCCTGAAAACAAGTCACACTTGTGCTCCTCGCAGTCAAAAATGAGAAATGAGTGAGACGAGTTTCCTGTAGTGGAAGCGTTTGGTACTGCAGCCGAACAACATCTCACTGAAAGATAATTTTTTGAGATATGAAGCTCAAATATGGAACACAGTGTGTTTAGATTTATGGCTTTGATTTTCTTGCAGTTTTGGAGTAAAACGTGATTTTGAAAATACATATATGTCAATTAAAAATTGAAAATAGTATTATGTATAGTATTATTTTTCATAACAATAGACGTCATATTCTGTTACTTTTTTTCTGTTACTGTTAAAAAGTGAATAAATGGATTATAAATAGAGCATAAATATAATTTAGTATAAAAAATCACCTAAAAATACAAAATATTAAATAAAAACTTTATCAAACTAAAATATAATACATTCATTTCATTGAAATTTTGGACCGACACGCGAAGAGCACCAGAGAAGACACTCAGCAGATTATTGCGTTTATGACCATTTTTTAATTTTATACAAAATAATTTGCCTCTAAAATTGCTAGAAAATATATTAATATATATGATTTATGAAAAATGTATGTCTTTAATTCAGGCTCCATCATAGCACAGAAACTGGGCTTGTTAAAATTACAAGTGACTTACCAAGGCTGTTTCTCAAAACTAGTTTAACTTGATCTTAGTGCTGCGTTGGACACTATAGATCATAAAATACTCTTAGATTGACATGAGTGAGATTGACATTACACTGGTGTTCAGGGACAGGCATTAAGGTGGTTTAGATCGTACCTATCAGACCATTTTCATTTTGTCTTCTTAAACGGGGATAAATCTTAGATAATGTCAGTAAATTATGGAATGCAGCAAGGCTTTGTATTAGGCCCTCTGCTATTTTCAATATATATGCTTGGTAATATTATAAGACAAAATGGAATTAGTTATGGAAGGATGTAAACAGTGGTTAAAGTGAATAAGCATGGACACTGACTTGTATATAGGCATGGCGATGTGCTCCATGAAGCTGATCTGGAGTTCAGGGATGTAGGCTTTCTCTCGGTCCATCATCTCACTGGGTCGGTTCCCCATCGCCTTCTCCTACAAACACACAATCATTTAACCCTAGAAAACACACAACTGCTTTCAATCTGTGTGCTCTTGCACCATTTAACCCTATAAATCCATATTTGATACGCCTCTAAATGATCAACATGATCTGATAAACCTGTCGCACACATTCTCCTCAAATCATCATTGTATTGCATTGCATTATATGTTTTAAAACTACAGAGCTTGGATAATAAAACTAAGCATTTAAATATCATCTCACTAAGACATATTATTGGCAGATATTAATATGTATATGCATTTGTCAGTATCTGCTGTACTGATATAAAGATCTCCTTGATTTACATTATAAGTATCAGAATTTTATATTAATGTCAGCATCTGCAGCAAATTTCATATTTTTGCTCAGTTTGAGTCTATGAATTAAATTTTCCTCCATATTCTCAGCCATAAAAGCCTGATGGATCATATTTAAACATAAAAACACATATGCTAACTTTTTTAGATTTCCTTTTATATTTTATCTAAATGTTTCATAAACTGTTTCATTTAAATAAAATGTAATATGTCAAGCTTTACAGGGTTGTTAAACCTGGAAATTAAGCCAATAAAATAATAATTTAAAAAAATACATTTTTTGAGATTTCGCTTCCAACTCTATAAGTGATTAATGAAACCCGGACAGCATTTTAACATTTATTCAGTGAATCAAGTTGATATTGCAACACTGTTTTAACATATTTTCAACATCTTATTGAAATTTCAACAGTGATGTATAAGTATTTTGTATTTTGTTGAAGCAACAAGTGACATTATTTTAAACCATATCTAAATGTTGAAGGTCGGTCACATGCCGGCTGTGTACGTAGATAAATGACATGTGATTTGGTCATGTGATCGTTGGTCATGTGATCATTCTCATTCAAGAAAACATAAGCTAAAATTTAACTCACCAAATCACCCTGAGAGAAAAACTCCTTATAGATTAACTCCTGCAACACAACAACAGAAGAGTGAGTGTGTGAGTGAGTCAATGTGTGAGTGAGTGTGTGTGTGTGAGTGAGTGTGAGTGGGTGTGTGAGTGAGTGAGTCAATGTGTGAGTGAGTGAGTGAGTGAGCGAGCGAGTGAGTGAGTGAGTGAGTGAGTGAGTGAGTGAGTGAGTGAGTGTGTGAGTCAATGTGTGAGTGAGTGAGTGTGTGAGTCAATGTGTGAGTGAGTGAGTGTGTGTGAGTGAGTGAGTGTGTGAGTGAGTGTGAGTGGGTGTGTGAGTGAGTCAATGTGTGAGTGAGTGAGTGAGTGAGCGAGTGAGTGAGTGAGTGAGTGAGTGAGTGAGTGAGTGAGTGTGTGAGTCAATGTGTGAGTGTGTGAGTCAATGTGTGAGTGAGTGTGTGAGTCAATGTGTGAGTGAGTGAGTGAGTGTGAGTGGGTGTGTGAGTGAGTGAGTCAATGTGTGAGTGAGTGAGTGAGTGTGAGTGTGTGTGAGTGTGTGTGTGTGTGTGTGTGTGTGTGTGTGTGTGTGTGTGTGTGTGTGTGTGTGTGTGTGTGTGTGTGTGTGTGTTACCGCAATCTTCCTGGTGGTCTTCCAGCCTTTGGTCTGGTCTGAGAGGTCACAGGAGGTCATCAGCAGACACAGCAACAGACTGCGATGCGTATGATTCTTCTGGTTATATCCAACTACACACACACACACACACACACACACACACACACGAATCATGAAGAGACAGGGATTTAGGGGATTTCTTTAGCTTATTTTGCAGTACTGATATTATATTTCATTAGTTTAAATTACTTGGTCTCATTGCACTGGCTTCCGGTCTACTATAAGATTGATTTTAAACTTCTGTTATTGGTGTACAAATCATTGCATGGACTCTTCTCAGATCTCTTAACTGAATATCATACTTGACAAAGTTCAGTGACTCAGAAGCTATAAAAATACCCAGGACACATCGAATAGTTTGCCTAAACATCTTAGAGACGCTGCTACTGCACAGGATTTTAGTGGAAAACTCAAAACACAATTTTATTATATGATATATTAACATTTTTCTACTTTTATTTTTATAATGTATTAAATTATTAATTTAATTTTAATTTAATATTATGTAGCGTCTGGACCAATCAGACACACATTAGTTATTCATTAAACTCACTCTCCCAACAAAGGTCTGTGGAACTTCCCCCAAAACTAACATCCCAAATGAAGCGAACACACTGGCAGAACCGGTGTCCTGTTACAGGACCTTAAAGGCTGATTTATACTTCTGCGTCGGACCTACGCCGGAGCCTCTGCGCTGTAGACTACGCGTTGGCTTTAATTTATACTTCTGCGTCGTTGTCCGCGTTGACGCATGCAGAGGGAACATGTGAAACCCGAGGCAGCGGTTCTAGCCGACCAATCACAGCGCTTGCGTCCGCGTGGAATTGATGCGTTGTTACATTTTTGGAGAGGTGCACGTCAGGGTACGCCGAAGGGTACGCGCGCTACACACAGCCTACGACGCAGCTGCGGCGGGAGTTCGACGCAGAAGTATAAATTGGGCTTAAGAATGATAAGAATTTATGAGCCCAAAACAGGAATTTACAGAGGGCTGTGACACTCTTACGGAGAAGGAGAAATTAGCCCTGTTAATCCTATATATAATATATATATATATATAACCACTTGAGAAATGTATAAACATGTATCTAATTTTCCCATCTCATGATTTTCCTTTTATGAGGTTTAGACTATGTTTTCTTGTAAACTCTAATGGGTTAATGTTTCGGCCTTTGCATACAATGTTTGACCAAAATCATATGTGTGGCATGTTTGGTCTCTATAAACTCCAATCTTCGTCCCCCATTTGTTCATTTACATTACATTTTGCTAACTTTATGACGCATTAGTATTATAAGAACTTGAAGATTCTTTTGTTAAACACCCAATAAAATTACACATTCAAATGCTCTGCTATAGGTTCGTAAAAACTCCCCCCAAAGGGAACACTTCTTATTGGCTCACACACCTCCAGAGTGTGTGACATCTTCACGCTTTAAAAATCACTGATCACAAGACCAGCTCTCTTAGTTCCTCTCTGAAGTCCTGATGTGAAGATGAGGCTGAACTAGAAGTCCCCCAAGGACCCCAAGCTTGTGCCAGGCTGCGGCCTCGTCTTTCCATTCACTAAAGATCCTCACACTTTTTTCCTCTGACTCCCACTGGCTCTCTCTCATCAAGACCACATCAGCAAAGATCAACTGGAGCCTCAATTGAATCAGGACAGTTTAATTCAAATGGATGAGACATGCAAGTATCAAACTTAGTCTCATTAGTTGATCAAGTATCCGTACCCCTTTTATAGAAGGGCGTGTAAGAACTAAACTGATGGTTTGCTCAGGCTGTTGATCTGCTGAACACCAAACACTGCTGTAACTTCTAGCTCTCCTGTATTCTGCTTCAGCTCTTTCCCTCGGTAAACTGTCTGCATACGTATGTTAGAGTAGTTTAAGTGTTTAATCTAGTTAATAAAGTCTTGTTCATGTCACACGTAAAGTTGTCCGTGTATCAAGCTCATATCTGGAGTCACTAATCATAGATCTTGACTACTTGCTCTTAGTAGCACTGTAGACATTTCCCATGCCCTGGAAATGTACATTTCTATTAATCAACTACTAACCAATATTGAGGGTTCATATGATGAACTGCGTAACTGGTTGTAATGTTAATGTAGCTACATCAAGTTAATCCGATTAACTGATCCAAATATTCATAATCAAATATAACAAGTTATGATTGGTTATTAATATTTCATAGAGCTATTTTGCTACAATTAAATGTACTTGTTTATTTGCATTATTGTTTTATTTTACAACATTAACTTTAACTTATATTTTATTATTATTTTAAAAAATAAATATACATTTTATTTTTATTTTTTTATTCATAAATTATATTTTTTAAACTTTTATTTTTACAACATACTAAATGACTTGTAAAATTATGTTTTATTATTAAAAATTAACGTATTTGATACTCTGACTGTAAATGCTTTGACAATACAGGTGGAATGTGTCATATCAATTAAAGGTGCAGTGTGTAAGTTTAGCAGCATCTAGTGGTGAGGTTGCGAATTGCACTTAACAGAAGTTATGGTGGGCGCTACGAAGTGATGTCGTCGTCTGAGACAGCAGAGAGTCGCCAGTTCAGCACTGAGGTTTCTTTACAAAGATAAATTAAGAAATTAGGTTTACTTTATTATTCAGTAAAACAATGTTATTGCGAATATTATTGTGACTTGTTCATCATTGTCTCAGTGTTTTATTGGCTGACTTCAGCTACAGCTTCTCTGCACGAAGAACAACATAGTGACGAAACGCGTTTGTCCGTTCAGGGCCACCGTAGAAACATGTCGATGTAAGTGGACCCGCGGTGTGTGTAAATAGAAATCCTCATTCTAAGGTAATAAAAACATAACGGTTCATTATGTAAGCTCTTTATACACCACTGAAAAAATAGTTATGTATATGATATTTAATTTCTGTCAACTATTCTGTCAAATATTACACAATGCACCTTTAAAAAGATACATTTCAGGAAAGGAAAGAGATCCTGTGGCGTCAGCCATCTTCTACACACAAACACACACGCACACGCACACACACACTCACACACACATACACATACACACACAGCTGTGTTTTTGTGATATATGAGGACATTCCATAGGCGTAATGACTTTTATACTGGACAAACTGTATATTCTGTCCCCCTACACTGCCCCTATCCCTAAACCTACCCCTCACACACACTCACACACACACACTCACACACACATACACATACACATACACACACAGCTGTGTTTTTGTGATATATGAGGACATTCCATAGGCGTAATGACTTTTATACTGGACAAACTGTATATTCTGTCCCCCTACACTGCCCCTATCCCTAAACCTACCCATCAAACACACACACACACACACACACACACACACACATACACTGCCCCTATCCCTAAACCTACCCATCTCAGGAGACATGCTGCATTTTTACATTAAAAAAAACATAGTTTTTTATGTTTTTTAAGCTATTTGAAATATGAGGACTCATGCAATGTCCTCATATATCACGTGTAAGTTGTAATACCAGTGTAATATGCATGTCATTATACACATTTGTTTCCTCATATATCACAAAAACAAAAGCATACACACTCACTCTCACACACACACACACACTGGCGTCTCACCGTCGGCCATCTTCTGCAGGTCCTTGAAGATCCTCAGGTGATGAGCCAGATCTGTGGCCAGGATTATATCTCTAATCAGATCCAGCATCCGCTGATAATCCTGGAACACCGAGAGCAAAGCATCATGGGTCAGCAAAGCATCATGGGTCAGCAAAGCATCATGGGGCAGTAAAAGCATCATGGGACAGCAAAGCATCATGGGACAGCAAAGCATCATGGGTCAGCAAAGCATCATGGGACAGCAAAGCATCATGGGTCAGCAAAGCATCATGGGTCAGCAAAGCATCATGGGACAGCAAAGCATCATGGGGCAGTAAAAGTTAAGAAAACTTAAACATTTTGGAATTTTATTGAATTACATATTAATGTGAAATACTGCATAATGACACAATTTGTTAAAGATTTTGAAAGCATATTGCGTAGTTGTGCTTGTTGTATTTGTGATCACGCAGTAACACATGCCAAATTGTGCGACATAATTTTTGTCCAGGATCTCATAAAGAAATTATGAACACATGCAAAACAAGAGAACCAATGAAATATTAATAACTGATCATGTTGCAGTAAATGTATGCTTGTTGTTTTTCAATGCATTTATTTTGCACAGTAAAATAAAACCTGTGGCTGTAATAAGAACAGACCATATCATGATTTATTTCTCCTTTCTTAACCAGAAAAACCAAAACAAGATGCAGAAGGTTCACCTTTCTAGAGAACTTCTCAAAGATGTTGCAGCCGTGTGTGTTGAGGATCGCGATGGCCTGAGCAAAGTGATGTCTCTGAAACACACACACACACACACACACACACACACACTGAATCACTGAGTGTGTTTGAGTCAGTTGAGCAGCAGAGGGCAGCAGACAATCACAAGAGTGATGAAACAGATCCAAACTCTTCTATGATCTGTCAGACACACACACACACACACACACACACACACACACACACACACACACACACACAAACACACACACACACACACACACACGACTGCCCACTCATCTGTCAGACACACACACACACACACACACACACACACACACACACACACACACACACAACCGCCCACTCATCTGTCAATCAACCACAACAACAGCTTCTGTGTGGCTTTAAAGTAGTAGTTCACTTCAGGTTTAAAGTTTCCTGATAATTTCCTCTCCTCCACGTCATCCGAGATGTTCATGTCTTTCTTTCTTCAGTGGAAAAGAAATTACGGTTTTTGAGGAACACACTCCAGGGTTTCTCCATATAGTGACTTCAATGGGGTCCAACGGGTCGAAGGTCCAGATGTGAGTTTCAGTGCAGCTTCAAAGTCTCGACACGATCCAGCCGAGGAATAAGAGTCTGATCTAGACAAACCAGCGGACATTTATAACAAAATACACATTTATATACTTGTATCCACTAATGCTGGTCTTGCATGAGCTGTGATGCGACACACATTACGTCATCAAAAACTCTCATCTCATTTTCTCCTCTAACGTCAAAATTGTTCGACATCGTTGTTTTACCTTTTATTTATAATATTTTTTTGTAAATGGCGTTTGACTCGTTCTCTTTTTAAACTCTGGGTCGGTTCTTCCCCCTACGTCCCGCTTGACCTTTCACCCTGATGACGTAATGTGTGTCGCATCACAGCTCGAGCAAGACCAGCATTAGTGGTTAAAAGTAAATAAATGTGTATTTTGTTATAAATGTCCGCTGGTTTGTCTAGATCAGACTCTTATTCCTCGGCTGGATCGTGTCGAGACTTTGAAGCTGCACTGAAACTCACATCTGGACCTTCGACCCGTTGGACCCCATTGAAGACACTATATGGAGAAACATCTGGAGTGTGTTCCTCAAAAACCTTCATTTCTTTTCCACTGAAGAAAGAAACACATGAACATCTTGGATGACGTGGAGGAGAGGAAATTATCAGGACATTTTAATTCTGAAGTGAACTAATAAAGTTAGTGAACTAACTAACATACTGTAAAACAACTGCTCAAACCATTGGACAAACAGGGTTATTAGATACATCCACTGAAATAAAACCACATAAAATATAAAGGAATCATACTAAAATAACTAGAACTAAATAAACAAAAGTAGATATACAATAAAACAAATAAAATAGACAAAAACTCAAAAGTACTAAAACATACTAAAATTAAAAGAAAAACAGAAAAAAAAAAAAAAAAAATTAAAATATTAATAAATACTGTAATAGCATCTCAATCATACTAAAATAATCCTGGTCATTATGAGTATGAAAATAAGCATGTCAACAGTGTGTGTGTGTGTGTGTGTGTGTGTGTGTGTGTGTGTGTGTGTGTGTGTGTGTGTGTGTGTGTGTGAGAGAGAGAGTGTGTGTGTGTGTGTGTGTGTACCTCCATCACAGATCCCTCTGAACTGTACAGAGCCGCCAGGACGGATTGCTGGAGAAAACAATAAATGCAGAAAACACTTTTTTTTTATTACATTTCATGCAATCAACTGTTCCACATCTGCAGTGTTTCTGACGTACCGAGTCGACCTGGAAGGAGTTGTTGGTTCCTCGATGGTCCAGATCGTGACACATGCAGGACACAAACAGCGCCAGGATCTCTATATCTCTGCCAGAAACACACACACACACTCAGACAACACAAACAGCAGCGTCTTCTTCAGTAATTCAGTGTGTGTGTGTGTGTGTGTGTGTGTGTGTGTGTGTGTGTGTGTGTGTGTGTGTGTGTGTGTGTGTGTGTGTGTGTGTGTGTGTGTGTTCTTACTCGAGGTAGTTGGCTAGTTCCAGGTTCTTGTACAGCAGGTAGCAGAAGTGTGAGACGGAGAAGGTGTGTGTGAGTGTGTGTGTGAGTGTGTGTGTGTGTGTGTGTGTGTGTGTGTGAGTGAGTGTTCTTACTCGAGGTAGTTGGCTAGTTCCAGGTTCTTGTACAGCAGGTAGCAGAAGTGTGAGACGGAGAAGGTGTGTGTGAGTGTGTGTGTGAGTGTGTGTGTGTGTGTGTGAGTGAGTGTGTGTGTGTGTGTGTGTGTGTGTGTGTGTGTGTGTGTGTGTGTGTGTGTGTGTGTGTGTGTGTGTGTGTGTGTGTGTGTGAGTGAGTGTTCTTACTCGAGGTAGTTGGCTAGTTCCAGGTTCTTGTACAGCAGGTAGCAGAAGTGTGAGACGGAGAAGGTGTGTGTGAGTGTATGTGTGAGTGTGTGTGTGTGTGTGTGTGTGTGTGTGTGTGTGTGTGTGTGTGTGTGTGTGTGTGTGTGTGTGTGTGTGTGAGTGAGTGTTCTTACTCGAGGTAGTTGGCTAGTTCCAGGTTCTTGTACAGCAGGTAGCAGAAGTGTGAGACGGAGAAGGTGTGTGTGAGTGTGTGTGTGTGAGTGTGTGTGTGTGTGTGAGTGAGTGTGTGTGTGTGGTGTGTGTGTGTGTGTGTGTGTGTGTGTGTGTGTGTGTGTGTGTGTGTGTGTGTGTGTGTGTGTGTGTGTGTGTTCTTACTCGAGGTAGTTGGCTAGTTCCAGGTTCTTGTACAGCAGGTAGCAGAAGTGTGAGACGGAGAAGGTGTGTGTGAGTGTATGTGTGAGTGTGTGTGTGTGTGTGTGTGTGTGTGTGTGTGTTCTTACTCGAGGTAGTTGGCTAGTTCCAGGTTCTTGTACAGCAGGTAGCAGAAGTGTGAGACGGATAAGGTGTGTGTGAGTGTGTGTGTGAGTGTGTGTGTGTGTGTGTGTGTGAGTGAGTGTGTGTGTGTGTGTGTGTGTGAGTGAGTGTTCTTACTCGAGGTAGTTGGCTAGTTCCAGGTTCTTGTACAGCAGGTAGCAGAAGTGTGAGACGGAGAAGGTGTGTGTGAGTGTATGTGTGAGTGTGTGTGTGTGTGTGTGTGTGTGTGTGTGTGTGTTCTTACTCGAGGTAGTTGGCTAGTTCCAGGTTCTTGTACAGCAGGTAGCAGAAGTGTGAGACGGATAAGGTGTGTGTGAGTGTGTGTGTGAGTGTGTGTGTGTGTGTGTGAGTGAGTGTGTGTGTGTGTGTGTGTGTGTGTGTGTGTGTGTGTGAGTGAGTGTTCTTACTCGAGGTAGTTGGCTAGTTCCAGGTTCTTGTACAGCAGGTAGCAGAAGTGTGAGACGGAGAAGGCGTGCATCCAGTTGTGATACGGAGGGTCTCTATAGCCCTTCTTCACCATCAGACAAAACCTAAACAACAGGAAAACCACCATAACACATTTTATTCCACATGAATCTCATTATGGATTCCTCTCAGTTGATTGACACTCCATCAGTCTGAAGTGTAACATCCCTCTATGATGTCAGACATGACTTATAGATGAGGCGCTCCGTTGCCTGGCAACAGCATCAGCATCAGCGAGTCTTTGCTCAGGTGAGATACTCATCAAATATACATGAGGTCAACAGAAGATTGACAAGACTGTCAAAGCAATCAAAGTCAGTGTGTGTAACCAACATGTTATGTGACAAGAAAAGCATAAGACAGGAAATGATATCACAGACATGATTATGCGTCACGGTCAGTAAGTCTCAGCATTCAGATGTATTAATGACATGGAAGAGGTAGAGTTGTCCAAAGACATTAATTTAATTTGTATGACATTTTTTATCATTTTTTATATATATATATATATATATATATATATATATATATATATATATATACATAATTTTTTTTACATATTTTTGATGGTAAAAAATGTCATGCAAATTAAATCTAATTCTTTTGACAACTCTAACTCTAACCCTAACCATACAGGTCCTTCTCAAAAAATTAGCATATTGTGATAAAGTTCATTATTTTCCATAATGTAATGATAAAAATTAAACTTTCATATATTTTAGATTCATTGCACACCAACTGAAATATTTCAGGTCTTTTATTGTTTTAATACTGATGATTTTGGCATACAGCTCATGAAAACCCAAAATTCCTGTCTCAAAAAATTAGCATATCATGAAAAGGGTCTGAACGAGCTATTAACCTAATCATCTGAATCAACTAATTAACTCTAAACACCTGCAAAAGATTCCTGAGGCTTTTAAAAACTCCCAGCCTGTTTCATTACTCAAAACCGCAATCATGGGTAAGGCTGTCCAAAAGGCCATCATTGACACCCTCAAGCAAGAGGGATAAGACAGAAAGAAATTTCTGAACAAATAGGCTGTTCCCAGAGTGCTGTATCAAGGCACCTCAGTGGGAAGTCTGTGGGAAGGAAAAAGTGCGGCAAAAAACGCTGCACAACGTGAAGAGGTGACCGGACCCTGAGGAAGATTGTGGAGAAGGACCGATTCCAGAGCTTGGGGGACCTGCGGAAGCAGTGGACTGAGTCTGGAGTAGAAACATCCAGAGCCACCGTGCACAGGCGTGTGCAGGAAATGGGCTACAGGTGCCGCATTCCCCAGGTCAAGCCACTTTTGAACCAGAAACAGCGGCAGAAGCGCCTGACCTGGGCTACAGAGAAGCAGCACTGGACTGTTGCTCAGTTTTGCATATCATTCGGAAATCAAGGTGCCAGAGTCTGGAGGAAGACTGGGGAGAAGGAAATGCCAAAATGCCTGAAGTCCAGTGTCAAGTACCCACAGTCAGTGATGGTCTGGGGTGCCATGTCAGCTGCTGGTGTTGGTGCACTGTGTTTTATCAAGGGCAGGGTCAATGCAGCTAGCTATCAGGAGATTTTGGAGCACTTCATGCTTCCATCTGCTGAAAAGCTTTATGGAGATGAAGATTTCATTTTTCAGCACGACCTGGCACCTGCTCACAGTGCCAAAACCACTGGTAAATGGTCTACTGACCATGGTATTACTGTGCTCAATTGGCCTGCCAACTCTCCTGACCTGAACCCCATAGAGAATCTGTGGGAAATTGTGAAGAGAAAGTTGAGAGACGCAAGACCCAACACTCTGGATGAGCTTAAGGCCGCTATCGAAGCATCCTGGGCCTCCATAACACCTCAGCAGTGCCACAGGCTGATTGCCTCCATGCCACGCCCCATTGAAGCAGTCATTTCTGCAAAAGGATTCCCGACCAAGTATTGACTATTGAGTGCATAACTGAACATAATTATTTGAAGGTTGACTTTTTTTTTTGTATTAAAAACACTTCTTTTATTGGTCGGATGAAATATGCTAATTTTTTGAGACAGGAATTTTGGGTTTTCATGAGCTGTATGCCAAAATCATCAGTATTAAAACAATAAAAGACCTGAAATATTTCAGTTGGTGTGCAATGAATCTAAAATATATGAAAGTTTAATTTTTATCATTACATTATGGAAAATAATTAACTTTATCACAATATGCTAATTTTTTGAGAAGGACCTGTATATATATATGATTGAGAGGTGTAGGGAGAATATTAAACGACTTTTACCTGAAATTGAGTCTTTATATCATAAGATTAGTTGAAAATTTTATAAATTAGTAGTAAAAAAATATATAAATTGTTGTTCAAAACCAACTTAAATGCAAATCTGAGATTTCTAAGAGCACACCACATCCCTTTAGTTCCCTTCCAAGGGAACTCGCGCTGTGTCCGAGAACTGTACGCTGTGGGAACGCCTCTCTGTGATTGGGTCGTGAAGCATGTGTGAAATCCGTCCAATGGCGTGACTGAACGCCGGGAAACTATAAAGCATAACCTGAAGCAGCGTTAGCTTCTGTCCCGTCTGTCTATCTGATGTTTGTCTGTCACAAGCAGATACATTTCATTGTATTGGACAGGAGTTATTTATAAGTATAAAATGGCGAGCAAACAGCAGTTTAAATCACGTGCTCCTCCTTGCCCTCGCTACATCACAGGTGGGGATACACACGATTTGTGAGTTGTTTGTTTGTGAATGGAGCTCTTGAGGCGGCTGATAGTGTGCATTGAGAACAGAGGGTTTAGAGACGAGCTCTCCTCACCTGCCAGATCTAGTGCCTTATCTCAGGGTTTGGAAGCATTTGCTCAGCGGTTTCATCAGCCCTGAGTGATGCGATTCAGCTGTGAGGAGTTGGATGTTGTTAGCATTGAGGCAGGACACACTTCTGCTTATTATGGAGGCTGTAACTCGTGTCTTGGCCAGATTAAACACCGACTGGCCGGCTGAGAAACAGTAAGATCATCATTAAAGAAAGCTAGATGAACGTTTCCTGCCCTCTAGATCACAACCTCTTCATCAGGGCCTGGCGTTTGTTCCTGATCTCCTGAGGTGTCGAGCCGTTGGAAGAAGCCGGTTTTATATTGAGTCTTTAAGGGTTAGTTCACCTAAAAATGTAAACTCTGTCAGTAATTACTCTCCTTCATGTTGTTCCCCGTAAGACTTTCGTTCAATTTTTTGGAACACAAATTAAGATATTTTGGGTGAAATCTGAGGGCTGTCTCACTCCTTCATAGGCTTCTAGGTAATTTCCTTCTGCCGGTCCAGAAAAGTTAGTAAAAACATTGTTAAAATAGTCCAAGTGACTACAGTGGCTCAACCTTAAGTTTATCAAGCGACGAGAATACACTTTGTGCGCAAAAACAACAAAAATAACGACTTTATTTCAACTATTCATGTCCTTCTGTTGTGGGCCTCTGACGCGAGTTTTTTTTTTAAACAGAAAGTTCCTGAAGTTTGCTTTCGGTGGCGAAGCGTACCAATATCGGTTTTTCCTTCTGGCTTAGCCTTGTCACCGCACACTTTCTCCAAACGTGTGGATGAAGCACGGGCTCTGTTCTGACTCAAGGGCATTCGCGTGATGAACTACAGAGACGGCTGGTTGATCTTAGCTATGTTGGCAGTTTGGCATCGAGATGTCGTTCTCGCCCATATGAGAGAGTTTGTGTTAAGATTGAATGCCAAGAAGAGTGTGCTTTCGATTCGACGACGGTGCAGGAAAGTCTTTCTCCTGCTTGTATAGAGTTGATTCTCGGGCTGCTCCTCTCCGCACACATTGTGAGGATTTATAAGCTGGGTTTAGGCTCTTCATCAAGGTCCCAGGTGCTCTTGTCTCAGCGCTGCTCTTTACGATTCCACACAAGACAGGCCCTTGTCAGTACGGCGGCGTGATTATAAACTCTCTTGATTCCATCACGGAAGTGTTGTGATGGGGGTGAATTTATTTTTTAAACTCTTCCATTTAAATTATATTAAGCCTTAAATTTGATTTCACAAGCGCTTCACGATGCAATGACACAGAGGTGTTCCCTCAGCGTACAATTCTCAGACGCAGTGTCTTGTTCCCTTTTTCGGGGAACCATGGTTACAGTCATAACCTGAGACGATTTCTGAAATATTTGTCACAATCTTTGTTATTGACTATTAAAGGGGCAATCACAGAAAGGACAGGTGTGTGTCTGTACCTGGCTAACGTGTGCAGGTCGATCTTATAGGTGTTTATGAAGCCCATGTCTTCAAACATGCTGAGAACGCCCTGCGAGAGACAGACAGACAGACATCATCAGTGTTTCAGTCGTCCATGTGAATCTCGTTGTGGGTTTGGTGTGTGTCGGTACCATAGGCGTGCTGTCGTCCGACAGAGATCGCGGCGTGTAAGTGAACTCTGCAAAGTTGGGGTGGATTATTTGGACCGGCTCAACGCCGGTGTACAGAAGTTTAGTGACCTCTTCCTCCGACACCTTCATATGGTACATCATCATCTCATTGGCCAGATGACTGCGGAACTGAGCCTCGTGGACCTTCTTATACAGGAGAGACTGACACACACACACAGATATAAATAAATAAATAAAATATTACACATATCACATATATAAACACAAATGCATTATATATATATATATATATATAAAATGACAAAAACATTTTATATATGATTGTATAGCACAATAATAATACATTAAAAACAAATAAATAATACATAAAAAGTAATAATAAATAATAAGACATTAATAGTACAAAATCATTTTGTATGAATTAGTAGCACAAAATACTAATTGTTGTTCAAAACCATATAAAACCTATATATATATATATATATATATATATATATAATGTATACATTTATATTTCATATATTTTATTTTTGTAATTATATATATATATATGTGTGTGTGTATTACAAAAATAAAATAAATATAAATAATTTTTTTAATGTAAATAAAATAAATGTATATTTTATATACATTGAAAACATTTTTTATATTTATTTTATTTTTGTAATACACAAACATATATATATATATATATATATTAATTACAAAAATAAAATAAATAAATAGCACAATAATAATACATACAAAAATGAATTAATATGAATTAGTAGTACAAAATAGTATACATTTAATAGATAATTATTACCCCAAAATAACATAAATTTTATAGATTAGCAGCACAAAATTGTATAAAATATTAGTACAAAATGGTAAATATTATAAATAAAATTAGTAGTACAAAATACTATAATTGTTGTTCAAAACCACATGAAACCTATATATATATAATGTATATATATTTATATTTCATGTTTTATTATTTTTTTATTATATACATTTATATATATATACACAGTCAACCAACATTTATTCAGACACCTTCAACATTTCTCACATTATCATTTCTCACAATTTATTTGCTATAGTTTAGAAAATGGTAATAAAATATGAAAAGAACTCAGAGTTATCAAACTGGTTTTGTCCGTCCTTCTGTTAGACTCTCACACATGAATTATGTTGAATATCTGTCAGCTGTTAAATTTAACTACACAATTAGATAATACCAGTTTAGCTCAACCAGTGACCAAGCAATGCTTCATGTTGTTCAGTCTGTGTGTAAAAAGAGCATTAGCAATTACAGAAAACACACTTCAGCAAAACATGATCAGCTCAAAGTGACAGACTAATTTTTGGTCCCAAATTTTAACTGGTAGTCACTGTATATATATATTGTTGGGTATAATATGTCACAGTTTACTTTATTTTGCTCTCCTCACTCCTGGACCCACTAGTAAAACAATATCAATTATATCTGGTGTCTGAATAATTTTTGGTTTGACTGTATATATATATATATATATATATATATATATATATATAAAAAAAATATATATATATATGTATATAACATATACATTTCTAATCTATTGAGTTTTTCAGTGATGTAGAAACTCGTACATGAGCGATACTGATGCCACAGTAAATAGAGAAGGCCGTCGCCAGATCCTCATCAAAACGATTGAACCACGGACCGTTAGTTTTATTCACCAGCTCTGCCACTCCAATCACCTCTGATGAGAAACCAAAGAGTCACACAGACAGACAGACAGACAGTGTTGAGCATGTTACTTAAAAAAAGTAATTAGTTATAGTTACTAGTTACTTCTCACAAATAGTAACTGAGTTAGTAACTGAGTTACATCATTATAAAAGTAACTAATTACCAGAGAAAGTAACTATTGCGTTACTTAAAAAAATAAAATAAAATTCAAATAGGCCTATGTCAAATAATTTGGATGCCCCCAGTATTAAATATGTTAAATTAATGAAATGGACACTTAATAGTGTGGATTAGTGTTCAATGTTTTATAATAATAATTTATTCTATTTTAATGTTGCTGTGGGACAATGTGAGAGACGCCTATTAAATTCAATATATTATTCTAAATATTAGCATTACTATAGTAGAACAATAAAACATTAGAGATGGTTTATACTTAATATCACACAGAGCCCAACTGGCCAACAAATAAGTTTAAAAATAAATTATGCTTCTTAAGAAATGTACCAAAAATGAATAAATAATAATACAAAATATACATACTCTTTGTGCATATTAAATGATAAAACTGTTACACAACTTCACAACTAGTAGACATACTGTAGCCTAAGTATTTTATTCCTTACAAAAGTAAACAGTTTAACAAGTGCTCTCTCAATATAATACTGAACAATGTACCAAAAATATATATATATATAATACTCAAATATAATATTTTGGGGGTTTATTTTTAGCAACCGGTCAAACAAAGATGTTTTCGAATGTTCCCTGCAGGTTATTTTCGGGTTTTATTTTATAACCTAAACAGAACGTTCCCTGTAGGTTATTATTTAGATTTTATTTGTATAACCATGTCAATTAATTAACGTTGCAGATGATACCAATAGGCTATAGATAATGCTGTCTAATGCTGGAATGTGTCATTTATTTATAAACAAACTATATAATGCTCGGACACACTCGGTCTCTCTCGCGCCGTTCGCTTCACTTTTGTCCACTCTGGCGGCTCATAAACACACACACACACACACCAGAGAAAAAACTTTGCAGGTCCTATGGCGGAGAGAGGCCTACTCACTCGGGTGAAAGCCGCTTCAGTGAGTTCAATATAGTAACGCCACATGTTTTTGTCAGTA